CCACATAGCTGGCGCTGATGGTTTTTCAGCGACGCCAAAGCACCCAGCCACCTGTTGAGGTTGTGCTAGCCTTCTACAACATATTTTGGGTTCCTTGGTACGCCAATTAGCCCCTCTAAGCAATTTAACATGATTTAAGTAATCGGCTTGATTATATAAAGTGATCGACCTGATAAGAGATCGTCTCACTTAGCTTAAAGCGCCTAAGCATTGGCTCATTAGCAAAGGGCACCGACATATAGGTTTAAGAGCAAAGGGCACCGACATATAGGTTCAAGAGCAAAGAGCACCAACATACAGGTTCAAAGCAACGGAAGCGCCGACGTACAGGCATAGCGGAAGCAAAGTTCAGGCGAACTTTTAAAGATCGACAGGCGTGGATCTTCGGTAATTTCCTTTCGAAAATTATCGCATCAAATGAGGATAACTTCAAGAGAAGATATCTTCGACAACGTTCCCTAGCTTGCGGAGAGTTGTCGCGAACAACATGAGGATTATTTCAAGCGAAATAATCTTCGATAGTATTCCCTAGGATGTGGAATATTATTAATGCAGCTAAGGATTATTTCAAGCGAAATAATCTTCGATGATATTCCCTTGGACGTGGAATATTATCATAGCGGAGGAGGATCATTTCAGGCGAAGCAATCTCCCATATTGGAAGCAGTTACAGGCGTAGCGGTTTTCAAGCAGGATGACGTTCTCTAGCTTGCAGGAGGTCATCAAAATAACAGTAAAGCAGCAAATCGGTTACTTTCAGAGACGTGTGCTTGACGGTGCAAGATACGCGTTTCTTAACTCTTTTATCTGTTTAACTAACGCTAGTTTTGCAGGTATCGGCGTTACAAGATTGATTTAGGATTGCAGAACGTTCTGAATAATTCTCCGTCCCTATCGATACTTTGACTTTTGTTTTCGAAACTTACGTTTCTCCAAACTTAGTCAAAGTGGGGGCTTCTGTAGACACCCATTTGTGTCTCCCCAAAACCAAACCCAGTGATGAGTACCTTTCACGTCAAATCATAATCGAATGAAACGAAAGTGTGGAAAAGTCTAGTGTTGCGGAAAGCTTTTTTTATTTCTTTTCTCTTCTCTCTGTTTTTGAAAACTTTATTTTAAGAAAAAACCCAATCCAGTTTGGTTGGTCCATGATATGGGTCCAATAATGGTGTAGTTGGATGGGGCTTGCAAAGACCTTTCCAACGATATATTATAAGCCCAATTCCGATGAATATTGAGGAAGTTATGGCCAATTTACTAAACTGGGCCCGGTTTGAGCTTTATATGCAGCCCAATGATCTAGGGGAGGGCCTAATATGATTTATCATTCCTAATGCAATTAGGAATGGTTTTAGTCTTCTAGAACCTTCTAGAAGGTTTTTTTCATTCCTAATTCAATTAGCATTGATAAGTTGACTTTGTTGACTTTTCAGAGTTTTAATCAAAATCAAATAGCATTTTCGAAGAAATTATATTATTTTATCCTCCAGTACGGTAAATTTATCAGATTTTCGAAAACGCGTCGAAATCAAGCTTAACGTCCAACCCCAGGCCTTGGCGCCTGGAACCAGGCTTGGCGCCAGGCGCTAGCCATTGGTGGCTGGCGCCAGCTAGCCAGGGTTGGCGCCAGCTCTGTTTCCTGAGCGTCAGACTCTGTTTTGTTAAATTATCTTTTTTGGCTGATTTTCTCTATAAATATCGTATCAAAAACTCCGTTTTGATTCACCAATTCTCTTCATTCACAAGTTAAGCATCAAGAATCAGTTTTCATTCGCAAGTTAAATCGTTCATGCATTTGCATTCTTTAAATCTCTTAATCGTTCATCTCTTTCATTCATCTTTTCCAAAGCTTGGTTTTTCTCATACAAAATTCCGCATTCACAAGATCAAGAAACACCTAGCCATATTCGAAGTTGCCATCGCCCTAGACGTGAAAGGTTTAATTTCTGAGGGTTTGGTCCCAAATCTCTCTTTCAATTATTTAATTTAATTGTTTGTTTATTATTTTCCTTGAAGTTACTAACGTGTGTATTTTGTTATTAGAAAGAGGTACGAGGCATCAAAGTAAGTACTTTAATTGATTTATTGATGTTATGATGTAGAAATCATGTTTACATTGTTATTATGATATTCCTAGTATCATGTCTAGGTTATTTTTAATATTAAATATGATTGTTACGATGTCTTTTATTCTCTTCCTAATATTTATGATTGTTAGTATCATGTTAGGGTTAAAGATTTGATTTTTATTGCTTAGTGACATGCTAGGGTTTGTTATTAATCTTGTTAGTATCATGCCTAGGATCTTGCTATTATTATTATGCTTTAATATTAACATGAATATGATAATTATTATTATTATTGTTATAATTTATGGTTATTATTATTATGATATGATTATTAATTATTATTCATGATATTGATTATTTATTATGTTGCTTGATATGTTATTGTTATTGCTTGATCACACCTTTATGCATGTTAAAGGGAATTGGTACTTGTAACCACGCTTACCGGCTTCCAATTGAAACGCAGTCCACGCTCTCCATTGAGGCCACTTCTGTAATCTCTATCCTCCATTGAAGCAGCTCTTGAGGTAAAATGTTGTTTCTTTTTGTGTATATCAAATATCGATATCTCTATCGATCTAGGTTTTATTGTTGAATTTATTGCCATTATATTCAATTTAAGGTTTGATTATTCAACTATTGGTTATAACTAAGGTTATCAAATATCATAATCTGTGATTTTGTTGTTAGAGAAGAAATTTATGTGATTTTCCAGCCTGGATTGATATTGAATAAATTTTCCATTAATCTTAGGAATCTTAGAATGGAACTGTGAAATTGGACTTTTTCTATATAATTTTTCGAGCCTAATTTGATGATTGAATCAAGTTTGGTTCCTAATGTGTTGCAAAACCCTTTAATTCTAGAATGGGACTATGATATTGGACTTTTTTTTTTTTTTTTTAATCTCAAATCATGTGAATTTTTTAGCCTAATTTGATAATCAAATCAAGTTTGGTTGCTATTGTGTTGTAGAACCCTTTAATGCTAGAATGTGACTGTAAATTTAGACCTTTTTAACCGCAAATCATGTGGTTTTTCGAACCTTATTTGATAATTGAATCAAGGTTGCTAATGTGTTGCAGAATCCTTTTATGCTAGAATGGATGATATTGGACCTTTTATTTCTTGCCAAGGTTGCCACCCCTCCTGTGTCTCAGGGATGGGTCTGCTTGTGATTGAACTTTACTAACACATGAATGTCATTCTTTAGGTTATCACTTCCTCTTGAAGCCTACAAGGAGGTGAGTTTTGTCTGTTCTTTTGTTTGTTTGTCGTTAATGGACAATTTCTATTGTTATGTATGGGCAAAAGTAAGATGCTAAAAGTTTTGATATGTCTCTGAATGTGATTTGAGCATAGATAGAAGGTAGTTTGAACCTAAAATTCCTAGTTGTTTCCGAGCTGACATAATTAATGGTCTAAAACCTTTTGTATGCTATCGAAAAGCTGCGTAATATAGTGTATAGGTATGTTTTAAGTATTTTTCTAATTATGTCAGTTGCTAAAAAGCCTTTTCTTGTAGTGTGTTTTGGGGAGTATTTAGATGGAAATAGACCTATACAATTGGACCTGATTAAGGGTGCGTTGTATTCACCTGATTTTCAGTATTAAAACTTATCAGAACTTATTAATCTTATTAAAATTTATTTTAGTTGTAATTTGTTCTTGGGTTATACTTATCAAAACTTAAATAAGATGAACTTATTAGACTAGAAATAAGTGAAAATAAGATGAATAGAAAATTGATAGTTTAAAATTTGTACAAATCTAGGATATAGGGTTCATGTCTTGATTTTTTATGTAACGCTTATAAAAATTAATGTTAACATACCATAGCTAGTTTGTGATAAGTGTGACGAATTTTCTCTTGTATACAAAGCGTTACTTAAACCAAGCACACAATAGGATGATTCCAACGCAACCTTTACATGCATTTTAGTACTTGATTACTAAAATTCCTTTTAATTTTGAGTTTTAACAAAGGTTGAAGTTTCATTTGTTAGATTATTACAAAATTTGGGATTAGTAGTAGATATGAGAAAACTAGAGATTACGGTTGAGAATTATAAAGGTGGGGAATGATCAAAGAGAATCTAGAAAATGAAGGCGGGTAATAATCCAAGAAAATGAATTGTTAGAGAAAATTGTGCACCAGTGGCTGTAGTGAACTGAGGAGAGAGAATATACTTATAAAAGATGTATCTTTAGATTTTGGATGGTTTGCCTATTCAATTTTCCCTGTCCAAACATTAATCTCTGTATTGAAAAGTAAAGTGTCCGGGCCGGGTGGGTCTAATGGATCTTGGTCCGACCCAACCCATTCAAAATTAATGCAACCAAGCCCGAACCTGACTTGTTAAGTATTGATCTGTCCGCCCATGACCTGGCCCATTGAATAGGTCTATATGAAAAGAGAGAGGTGGTGACTGGTGAGGGAGAGCGACAATGGGTGGCTTCCATTTGCTTGCCTATAAGTTTCAAAATTGCTAATTTTCTCTCCCAATTTGCTTCAATTGCATTCAAATTCAGCAGAACATTATAAGCCATTTGTTTAGATTCTCTGTATTTTTAAGCTAGCTGAAGTTTGGGTTTCAGGTTTTCGATTTCATTAGTTGGGTGTTGGATTTTTGTATATATATAAAAACATTGCGCTGTTTTATAGGTTTAGCCACTAGTAGAAAAAATGCTATTTGTAACACCCTTATAGTAACTAGCGTTAAAAACGTTAGTTACTAAAACACTACTAGTAACTGGCTAAGATAATGTCAGTTACAAATAATATGACATTAGTAACTGGCCTTGTAGACGATGGTTACTAATTTGAAATTTGAGAAGGTTAGAAAATCTATTAGTAACCAGCCCATTAAGTGTTGGATACAAATTTTGAGTCAAATAAAATTTCTTACACAATATTTATTATTTTCTTAAAAACCTAAGTACTGTAGTTTTTTTTGTTCTTTTCACTTACGTTTTTGACTTAATGAGTTCTAATACTGTATACTCCTTTATCTTCCAATAACTTCTCCTTTCCCTCAAAAAAACTAAACGGTTGAAATTCTCAATCAAAATTGCTTTTTGTTGATGAAGAATGATATGAAATTCAGCAAACGTGGGCTATATTGAGGTTAAAGGTATGTAAAATTTTGAATTAGGGTTCACGTAATGAGTTGAATTATCCCCATTCTGGTTTCCATTACTCGGTGAGATTATTTATTTTAATCTATATTTTCTCCATCAATGAAGAAGATCAAAACGAGCAGAAATCGGGTTGTATTTGTTTTTGCTTCGGTTGCTACTACTTAAGCTTATCCTTAATTACCAGTCTCTTAGTGTTCATCGAAGCTTCTCAATCTGAGGTCAAGAAGGCTTTCTGACGCCTTGCTTTGCAGGTTATTTCTTTTGAATTCTATAATTTTTAATTGATTTTTTTTAGATTTTCGTGAAATTTTGTCGATTTTTTTTTTGTAAATGTGATTTTTGTTTTAATTGAAATTCTATTTACTGTTAATCTTATTGTAGATGCCTAATTGCCAATTTTCTGAAAATTTATCTTTTTCCACCTAATTTATGTTACTTCTGAGTTTATTTTTTTTCCCTGTTAAATTCGTGAAAAAAAAAAACGAATTTGGTTTAATTGTTTATTTTATTAGAGATGTCTTATTTTGTGAAATTTCATGGATTTGGATCTAATTTGAGAGAATTCAGCCGCAAATTCTTAACTGAATCAACTTTTATTTTTTGTAATTTTTTGTTGAATTTAAAGTATCAAAATGATAATTCTTATTGGATTTTCATAATATAGTATTTAGAGTATCATCCAGATGTATGTAGAGGAGCTTATTGCTCCATCACTGATTCTTAACAATAATTTGTGCTTAATTCAGAATAGCCTTAAACATAAAATTTACTCTGCTTTTATTAAAAACATAACTGAATTGCCAACCATATAATAAGACTGTTGAGGAAGAAGCAATGGAAGCATATTATGATATAGATAAAGGATTTAGATAACACACTGATTTGGAATGGGGTTTATAGAAGGAGTATGGGTTGGGATTTTGGGAAGGTGCTAGCTAGAATTAGATCTTATTCTTCTCATATTAATCCATATATGACGAACTATACATTATGTAGTGTGTTGGTTGAAATGTATTGCTACTAGTGATTCTTTGTTTCAATAATTAAGCTTTATAATATTAATATTTTTTAGTCTATAATTAGAGTTCTTAACTCACTTAATTGTTCTAGCATCATATATCAGGCCTTTGTTTCTTCTTCTTTTTTTTTTTTTTTTAAAGTGCGAGAGGCACGACTTTACGCATTCTGTGTTATGTATAAAACACTGTGTTCCTCTCATTTGCAGATCGGTCAGAAAATTGTTTTGCAAAACTATTGAGATGTGTTGTGTTTCTTTGAGGATTTTTTTTTTGTTGCATTCAATTGTCAATCTTTTGAAAGATCTCTAAATTTTTTTTTAATTCGTGAACCTTTTTTATACTTGTGAAATGAAGGTGTTGTAGAAGAAAAACTGAGAACCTGATCCAATTTGCTTTACCATATCAACATTTTGTTTGTTACCATTTTCTGTTATGTATTAATCATCTAAGTGGTTTCTAACCCAATTGGAAACCTGCCAAAGAAAAAGCAGCATATACATATTGAAGGATTAAGATAAGGTCTCTAATTACATCTTGAGGCAGATGACTTTTAATTATCAATGTGACAATGTCTTTTTTTTTTTTTTTTTTTTTTTTTAATGTCAGAAAATTCATGTGTTAAGACCATTCCAAATGTCCAATGATATTTAGATCATCATGAAATTTCTAAACTCAAATGCAGGCAGCAGGAATTTGAAAAGTCGGTTATAGGAAAAGTTGTTCGCGCATAAGCAACAAAAGAAAAGCAGTGTGAAAACACTAATAAGGGTGAACCAAGTCTAAAGGTAATATTCCCTCTGTTTATAAATACTTGCTCCATTTTTCCATGTGCGGAGTTTTAGGAGAAATTATAAAAAGTAATAAAATATGGAGGTAGTTTATCAAAAGGTGAAGCTACTATTCTATTCCGGAGCTAAAATGATGCTTTAATTATAATGAACACAAAGTAAGGACTTTTTGCTTGCTCGATTGGGTTGTATCTTGATTTAAACTTTGATTTACCTTGGTTTTCTTTTATTATTGGTTTTCTTTTATTATTTTTGTCATTTAAAGAGATACATGGGTGGTAGTTAATCATTAATACCAATAATGGAGTAGCCTTTTTCTTCAATTAACTTTGAGGAGATATCTTTTTCTTGTTAATTTAGTCACAATAGGGTGGTTGATGTTTCTCTTCTGTCTTATTTTTCAGATTGTATAATTGGTTGTTTTCATCTCTTCTAGTTGTACCTGTGGCCATATCAAAAGACAAATGATACTTGTTGAAGCAAGTCTTGGGGCTGTTATTACAATAGGCCTTGCGGCTAACCATCTAAAAGCACTAAGGTTTTCCTCACTCCTAATGAATATAGCAAGATATACATCCTCACAACTTGGAATTTATGTGAATATACAATATTAAAATGTTATATATGTGGCTACAATTGGAATTTGACTATATATCTCTACATGATTTTGGTTAACAAGCTGATTTGGGTTGATGTAAGTGTATATACATCAGGTTTAGGGGAAATATAATGGCCAACCTGCCCCCATTTTTGCTTATGCTGGTGTGAGTTCTAATCCTAATAGAAATTGGAACCCCCATCCTCCTCTCAAAATAATGTTCACCTTCTTTTGTATATAGCATCATAAGATCTTTTTGTTTCTTGTCTTTTACTCTTTCAGAGAATATTGTAGGCCACTCTAAACTTGCATGCTTTCTTGTTTGCTAAATATTGTCAAATATAACATAATAATGCAATTGTATCAATATTCTGTTTGAATAGTTTTCTTACTAGAAAAGTGTTCCCTTGCGACTTTATGTATATTGTATAGCCTTTATTCCTCTAATGATGTATCCTTGAGTATAACCGAGTATAAGCGTTGTATTTTATGTGGGGTTGTTTTATTGCTCTCCCCTCAACTATAAAAGCAATTATATGTATGTGACAGTTTAGTCAGATACAATTATATGTATGTGATAGCTAGTTTAGTCATAGCATAGTTTTAGTGAAATTACTGGTTTTGATTTTTGTATTAAATTTATTTGTCACTAGTTTTATCTAATAAGTGGCTGAAGTTTTTCTTGTGAGTTTTGATGATTATTTTCTTTTATATCCCCTCACTTTGATGCATTGACCATGTTAGAAGAGTTCACTTGGTCACTGTCTGAAACAACCCTTTTGAATTTTTTTTTTTTTTTTTATGTATATATTTCTTCCCCATGCAGAATTTTGTCGCAATATCAAGTGTTCAGTGAGAACTACTGCTATCCCGGCCTATACAGAATAGTCAAATTTGTGAAGCAGGCAAAATAAACAAAATCGTCAAAATTTGAAGGTTGACCATTGTATCAATTAACTAACTAGCTTATTTTAGTTATAGAGTATTATTTATTGTGAATTGTGAGAGAAATATTTGTAATTTACAATTACATCAATTCAATGTAATTGACAAGGTGTCGCTTAAAGTTGGTCTTAGATTAGTTACATTGATAGTTATTGTATTTTATAAAAGTTTATTGACTATTAATGGTCATTACATTATAAAAATTTACTGACTATTAATGGTCATTACATTCATTGTAGTGTACGGGTGGTGGTAGTATAGGAATTTCCCACTGCTACCATTTTTTTTTATATAATAAACACTATTTGTAACTGGCGTTAGGCTATGCCAATTACAAATAATACTTTATTTGTAACCGGCATAACTTAATGCCAGTTACAAATAATATGCTTTCTAACTTGGAAAATAACTTATTTGTACCTGGCGTTAGGTTAAGTCAGTTACGAATAGTACATTATTTGTAACTAACATTAGCCGGTTACGAATAATTTTCACTAGTTGTAACGGTGGCATTCGCAACCTACAATGCCAGTTACAAAAAGTCAATTTTGCCAGTTACAAATAACATTTTTTCTACTAGTGAGTGTTGTACAGTTGTTAAGTTGCCTTGAAGATTATTATACCTATTATTAAAATTTCTCTTATATATTTATTTTCTGGGAAACATAGGGGGTAATGTGACAGCGGCGTATAAGGGACTAAGGGAGACATGTTTGGTGGCAGAAGCAGTAGCAGTTGGGTCCGTCATTCAGTTCGTCTCTTTAAATTTCAGCATGCAACATCAACACGACCATTTTGCAATTCCACCGCTTCAAACAACAAATTGAAGCATCCGCCTTCTGACTCTGATGGTAGCAGCAGCATTAATTATTTAAGAGACTTGGACAACCTTAATTTCACCAAGGCTGCTAAGATCCTTTTCTCCACTCCTCACAAGAAGAAGAATTTTGGGTAATATGCTGTTGTTGTTGTTCTCATTTTGTTGTTTTAGTGTTTTGGGTACTTTAGTTCTCTGCTGGCTTTAAATTTCAGTTCTTTGTTCAATTTGTAATGTTGTTGCCCTACCAATATCTCAAGGATAATAATGACTACTCTATGATTAGCTAGCTATTTCACTCTCTGAAACAATCTAGATCTACAGACTGTTGCATTTATTATGAAGATTTTTAGGGTTGGAAACAGATTACTGAAGTATGTCCATCATTGGTTGTTTGTGTACGGTATAGCAAAAGTTTTCCTTACATGAGAGCAATCTATTTCACCTCCTTGTTGCCCCCCCCCAGCAAGCGGCAACAATTCACAATACCCTCAATCTCTCATTTGTTTCCATTCCAGTTTATCAATTTACCCAATGGTTGATAAAAGTAATAGTTGTCAATCATAAACATTTTCCCCTTATATTTGATACTATTTCATGGGATTAAGGCTTTGATTGATTTGATATTATTTCATTCTGTTTCCTTCAATTCTACCAAATGCACCTCAAGTGTCTGGCTAACTGGGTTGGGAGCACAGTGGATGGTAGGGCCTTAGCCCAGACCTGTTTCATTTCCTACCATAAGGTTGGGCATATAATATTATGCACTTGGCAGTTTGCATCTATCAAATTAGATACTGTATTTGCTTGCCTAGTATACATTCGTTCTTATAATTTCATGAGACATGTTGAGTAGTGGAGTCAGTTGGGAACTCACTTTGTGACTGGCCATAAATTCGAGGCCCACCAACTACATTTGCGTGGGAGTAGGGGATTTCCGTCCCTCCCTCCCCCCTCTCTACTCTCAAGCGCTGACCTACATCATCGGATTGGCTTTACATGTGAGATATGCTGGTTCGGTAGGGTCAATGTACAGTGTTGAGTTTGTACTTTCTGTCTCAGGTTAAATAAAAAGTTGCTAAAAGATTTCACTAATTACTTTTCATGATCAGGCTCGATTTCCATCTGGTGCAGCTCTTTTTTGCCCTCATGCCATCACTGGGTACTGTGCTATTCTACCTTTTGTGTTTACTGTATCAAGTTGCAAATTTCAACTGCAATGTTTACAAGAATGTTTGTCTGTTTCAGCTGTTTATCTCGTGGCTCAATATGCTCGTTATGATATGAGAAAAATGGAGGCGGTAATGAACTGTTTATATACTTTCTTCGTCTATACTGTTACTTTTTGTTCAATTTGTGTTATTTGAAAAAGACCTTCATTGCAAGGGCAATAATGCTTGTTATCTCAAACTAATAGTCAATGGATTTCAACTTACATCTTGAATTTTAGAAACCAACTCTCTGCAATGTAAGTATGACTGTATGAGTCTACATACATCTGAAACTATTGAGGAACTAGCATTACAGAATACAGACCTTTCTATGCTTGATTGGCATTTCTTTTATCTTGCCCCACCCCACCCCACCCCAGCCAATTTTTTGTTTGTTTGTTTGTTTGTTGGATAGGACTCATAATTTTATACCAAAGTGCATCAGGTGTAGTTCTCTTCCAAAAGGATGATAATCTGGTAATTTATCCAGTTGGTCTCAGGAGGCCCATTTTGGCACTTGAAGAGTTGAAGAACCTCTTGTACACTCTCACTTTTTTTTCATTCTGATTTCCCCCTTATTCATGTATCTATCCTAGAATACTACTTTTCATGTTTTGTGAGCGTCAAATTCCTTATGACATTGTTGTGGCAAACTTTCAAAACAAATCATATTCTCTGAACGTACAAAGAATATCACTTTAAAGTTTAGACCATTGCTTTTAAATGCAGTTTCCTATAATCTTCCATATGCTGAGGACTGTAATCATTACTCATATGAACAAAAAAGTAAGATTGAATTTATCTGTCACCTCTAAATTGTAAGAGACTGTATGATCAAGCATGCTTACGATTTGCCTTGCTGACGGTAGGGTTGGCCTTAATTTAGTTAAAGTAGGCAGTTAAGTTGATCTGGGATGAACAAGTTAGGCAATTATATATTTCCAGAGTATGATGGAAATTTTCATCCTTATTTTTTGCTAAATTTCTCAAAGTAGGTCCATTTTCTTGTTAGGAGCTGGAACTGAAAAAGAAAGCAGAGGAAGAACAAAAGGCAAAAGAGATGGAAGCTGCTGCTGCAGAGGAAAAAGAAGCAGAGTCTACAAGTCCGGAGCTTTTAAAGGTCAAAGAGAGGTTAGAAGCACTCGAGGAAACTTTGAAGGAAATTGTGGTGGAAACAAAGAAACGACCAAGTGAGGAAAAGAGCAAAAATGCTGATCAATATCAAGAGAGAGTAGGTCCTAAGAACAGATCAGATGATAGCCATACTCCTGACAAAAAAAAAACCACAACCCAGGAGGCAGCATCACAAGAGCCACAGAAGCAATGCGATAGCGAAAAGAAAGGGTCTCAGGAAGATGATAAAAAGTGAGTTAAACATTTTTAAAAGGCTAGTTTCTTGCTGCAAGTTTTTTGAACACACATCCTGTTCGTCGTGCTGAGAGTTTGTCCCCCCGACCCCTCAGCCGGGAAGTACAAAGCAGTTGCCAGTATGTGTTTTACACCTGTTAACATATTGATGGTGGAATAATCAAATCAATCAAAAATTTATTAGTGATATAAAATTATAGTTATGCTTATGCTTGGTCTTAATTTTCTTTCATATTCTGTAACAGGAATCAACATAGGGATCCTACTGTGTAACAGCTTAAATTGCATTCTGCAGGAATCTGAACAGAGAAGCTTACCCAAAATTAATCAACAAATGGTTACCCTGGCCTTATTTTCCCCTTACACTTATATACTCTTACCATCTTGATAATCCTTCTAATTTTACGCACCTCAATTGGTGTAGGTTACCAAGCATAGCTTGGTCTAATGGTCAAGTTTTTATCTCACAACCAAAAGGTTGTGGGATCAAACCCCACTAGAGACACTTTGGGGGTGGGGATTCCCTTATCCTTCCTCACTTCCAAAGTGTCTAGCCCGCTAACCCGGGTCGGGAGGACATGTGAGAGGTTTCGACCTGGTAGGACCATTCTCCTTACCAACCAAAAAAAAAAAATGGTGTAGGTTAAAACTGTTCTTCCTTAATACCCCATGGGAAGCTGAAGAATGGTAGGTTAGTTAATTTGGGGGCTTAAGAGGCCCAGATATTGGGGCCACCTAGCTTTGGGACTCCTTTGTGAATATTGTGATACTTTCCAAGCCAATGACTATTCTTTTTGTTGTTGTTTTTTTTTGGGGGGGGGGGTGGTGGGCGTAAATTTGAGGTGGATAAGGGTTGTATTTGGATGAGTAGCGGTGTTTTTGACTTTTGAGGTGACAGTGATGGTGGGGGTGGTTTCAGTGTAAGAATCGGTGGTGATGAGGTGGTGTTTTAGGAGGTGTTGGTTTAGGTGGAGGTAGAGGTGGTTATTGGACAGGGTAGCCCAATGATAATAGGGTTAGGGCCAAGCTTATAGGGCTTTTAATGAACAGAGCCCTTATTAGGTCGGGTCAATATAGGGCCAACATGTTTTTCCAATTTAGTTGATAAAGAAAATACATAATGTAAAAATAATTATATAGATTAATTTGTATTCATATGTATTTAATAATGGTTTTGTCCAATATTTATTTTAATTGATATTTTGTAGGTCCGCCCATTATCGACTCGCGGCCCGCATTGTCCCGACCTTATATTGACCCTATAAAATGTGACCCTCTTTGACCCTGACCAGCAACCGACCCTGACCTGACCCGTCCAATAACCAGGTCTAGGTGGAGGTGGTGGTGGGTTGGTGATGGATGTGCATGAATGTTGCATAGTGAAGTGGATATAAAATCCTCTTACTAATTGTTAATTGCCAGTATAGAAAAACATATATTATCATTAATGTGAAGATGAGTTAGAATTCGAATTCCTTGTACGGAAATTGGAATAGATGAGGAAAGAAGTTGAAAATTCATGTTCATATGTGAGTTGGATATGCAATGTAAACACCTTTGATGTGTCAGGTTTGGAAGGTGGAGATGATGATCAACAATGCAGTTTGCTTGCCAAATAAACTACGGATTTGGGCAAGCACAAAATATAGTATTTTTAGTTCAAACCTCGAGCTCGACCAAAAATAAAAACACAAAAAGGTTGTTTCTCTTGATAATCTCAATATTATTGTACATGTTTGCGCACTAGATTTTATACAAAAGTTTGGTATGGCGAGACCCAATTTTTTTTATATCACCAACATCACATTCCATAATGTCGTTGTGCCTATCCAAAACATGTTTACATATGATAAGAAAATGCAAAACCCTAATTTCAAACCGAGATTTGGAGGTGAAGATTTCGCATTGCTATAGAGAGGCTAATCGGGTTGTCGATTGGCTTGCTAATTATTGGTATTACGGCGGATCCCTAGGAATCTTCATGCCGTTTCATTGGAAGATTGCGGGGAGTTGCTTTGCCTCGTATGGTGCCGAAGAATAAGTTTGCTAAGGCTTTGTGCCCTTAAGGCATTGCTGTTGGTTTGCTTATGCTTTGTTTTTTCGTTTTCTTTCTGTTTTCTTGTTTTGTTTCTTTATTTTGTTGGTTTTGTTTGCTAGGGGCTTGGCCCTTCTCCTTCACCAAAAAAAAGGAAGATATGTGGAAGAAAAACAAATATAGGGTATGTTCTCTTCGACTGATTTTCAGTTCAGTTCAGTTCTTAATTTCCTTCTCTTATAAAATATCCAGTTTAGCTCCAATTAGTTTAGTTCAGTAAATCAGAACATATCCAAAACTGGTTTGATGCTCTTAAAAATGATTACAGTATTTCTTGGTGATTTATTTGCTTTAGGCTACGTGAAGGGTGAGGATCTTGTTTTGCGATAAAGTTTGGTTGATTTCTATTGTATGTAGGAAAAGTATGCCTCCTAATAGCTTGTACAATTGGTGAAATGATACATTGCATAATTTACTTGTGGTAACGAAATTGAATATTAAAACATGAGAAAATACAAGTTAACTTATAATTAATGGCATAATTTTACGTTTTTCAAAGGTTAAACACTAACATCGATAGTGTTTTTACACTAAAGTTGCTATTAATGGGTAAAAATGCAAACAATGTTAACAATTTTACCCCAAGATAGTACACGTTTGTCATTTAATAAATAACAAGGTGATTACTAATAAATTTAGGCACCCTTTAAAAAACATAGGAGGAGAATGATTTGGAATAATGATTTTGATATAAGTAGTAAATTTAATTAGTCAAATCTGCATATGCTACAACTTGAAGAATATGATTGCATTCCCCTTTCATAGTATCAAAATATATTCATTAATAATATCGAAGATGAAATAGTAGCATGTGCATGTGTATGAAGAATTGAAGGTTATATCATTTGAAGATTATTATGTGCAAGAGATCACATTCATGTCATTGAATTTGCTTTATATGCACAATGCAAAAAGATATGAAAATAAAATGCTTTTATATTATACTTAATGCAATTAAATTTGATGGATTTTTGCATAAATGAAACAATAATTATTGTTATGTTAAATTAGAATAAATAGGGTAATTTTTATACACAAACGCCACTTGGAGATCGTGCACCGAGAGAGTTGACATCATCTTTACCCACAGTCAAAAGAGTAACTGAGGATTACAAGTGTAGTTATTTGAAACCTAAACAATTATTTGAAACTTGGTAGAATACTACACTCCCTAAAAGCTTCCATGACTAGCACTTGGTACCCATGCAACGATTGGGATGGTCAAAAGTGTTGTGGATGTATAACATGTGTTTCACTAATTTAATTAGGAGAATAACTAATCAAAGTTTTAAACCAACTTCTGTTTTAAATGAAACATAGCTATTGTTATGTTAAATTAAGATAAATAGGGTGATTATTATACACAAAAGCCACTTGGAGATTGTGCCCCAAGATAGTTGATATCATCTTTACTCATAGTCAAAAGAGTAATTGAGGATCAAAAGTGTAGTTATCTGAAACCTGGAGTGTAGTTTTTTGAAATCTGGCAATATACTACACCCCCTAAAAGCTTCTATGACTAGCACTTGGTATCCATGCATATATGCAACCATTGAGAGGGTCAAAAGTGCTATGGATGTGTCACATGTTTTTTTACTGAATTAGTTAAGGAGAGTAACTGATTACTGTTTTAAACTGACTATAATAAAATACGTAAAGGACTCTATGCAATACCTTTTAAAAGAGTGAGATTAACAACAAAAGATAAAATAGATTTTAGATCTATATTTTATTTTATTTTTAATTTTCGGAAATAGAAATCCCTCCCATCTAGTTACAATTTTTTTGTTGGTTTAGATAAAATCATACAATACAACTTTTTCAATACAACTTAAGTGAGGAGAACATGTGTTTTGGTGTTTTGATTGTGAACAATCACATTACTAGGTGTTTAATTTTAGAAAGTAAAAACGCATATCCAAAATTTACATTACTTACCATAGTTTTTCTTACATCAATATTGTGAAAGCACCATATTCTAATACGAGTAATGAAACGAATAATATGATTAGAGAAATAAATTTCTTACTTTTTTGAATTTCAAAACCAATAAAAATATTCTTTACTACATATTTTTGGATAATACTAAAATATGATTCCTTGTTACTTTCCCCTTTAGAAACCCTACCATACCATATTCATATCCAGCCTCTTTCCTTCCCTCCCAACAAAGAGTTAAAAAAAAATAAATAAATAAAAAAATCTGCCCACTTCTCACTAATTATTCGCTCTTCTCTCAAACAAACCAAAAAAAAAAAAAAAAAAAATCTATAAAAAAGCAAACAAAATCCACAAAAATAAAAAATACCAATCTTAGAGAGAGAAACAGAAAGAGGGTTTTCTTCTGTGTAATCTTAGAGAGAGAAAGAAAGAAAGGGCCTTTTATTTTAACCCCCATTTCATAATCTTGTTCTTCTTTAGTTTCGGCGGATTCTTGAGCGAGTAGCAGCCAAGAAGAGAGAGAAAGAAAGAAGAGAGAGAAAGTATAATTGTAACCCAGAAAACCCAGAAACTGAAACTACCCAGAATTTGTTTGTTCAGATCCATTGAACTAATTTAAAGAGATGGGTGTTGGAAGAGGTGGGAATAATAATAACAATGGTGGGGGTGTTCCAACTTCATCGAAGAAGATGATACAGAGTTTAAAAGAGATTGTCAACTGCCCTGAAGCTGAGATCTATGCTATGCTTAAAGAATGTAACATGGACCCTAATGAAGCGGTTAATCGCCTCCTTTCTCAAGGTTTATTTTTTTTTTTGATTTTTGAATGAGTTAGATTTGAATTTATTGTGTTTTGTTTTGTGGGTTTTGGTTATTTTTGTTTGATGTTTGAATTTTTATGTTATCTTTTATGTGGGTTTTTTAAAATTTGTTTCTTTTCTTAGATTTTGTTTCCTGTTTTGGAATTTTAATTCTATTTTGGGGGATTTTTAGGTTGGTTTGTGTTTTGTTTTTCTAGGTATTTTGGGTGAAGCAGAATTCAGTGTTCCATGTTGTCAGTTGGAGTTCAATTTGTGGCGTTTTTATTAGGTTTCTGAACTATGGAGATTACTAGCTTGTGTCTGTTTATGTTGATTTGAGGAATTTGATAGGTTTAATTTGTATTCTAATTCATTATTGGCTTTAATTCTGTAGCTTTATGTGGTTTTTGAGTGCATGTACTCTTGAAAAGATCTGTCTTTTATCTAAATCAGTGTTCTTTTTATTGTGTTCCTTCCGCTTGTAGCCTTGATTAATCGTTGGCTCAAGCTCGATATTGTTACTGTAG